CCACTGAGCACTGTGCAACTGCTGTGGGTGAATTTGATCATGGACACACTGGCGGCCCTTGCCCTGGCCACAGAGGAGCCATCAGAAGACTGCCTGAACCGTGGCCCCGTCTCCCGCAAGGCCCCACTAGTGTCGCACCGCATGTTGTGCACAATGCTTTCTGTAGCGACCTACCAGGTCGTTTGCACCCTTGTGGTGGATATATACGGCGAAGGGTTTTTCCCCCGTACCCCAGAGGGGAGCCGCACACACAAAACCTTTTTGTTCAACGTTTTTGTCTTTGGAACACTCTGCCACATGTTCAATGCTCGTAAGCTCTACAGAGAGGTGAATGTGTTTGAGGGGATGCAACGCTCCAAGCTTTTTCTAATCATCGTCGCGTTGTGTGCAATCTTTCAGGCTGTGGCAGTGTCGACCTTTGGAGAGGCGATGAAAGTGCACCCGCTGTCGGTTGCGCAATGGGGCTACACTCTCGCAATTGCGCTTGGCTCTCTGGCAGTGGGGATAGTAAGTCGGTTGGTGTACATTCCGCTGCCCGTCTCTTCGTACCAAACAATTGAGGAGAATATCAGCGATGATATGCGTCACTTTGTTGAGAGACTGTCAACCGACGTGGAGCAGGTGCGCCTGTGTAACAGCGAGGATCAAGGATCATTCCTCAAGTTGGCTCAGCGTCTGCACGCTCAGTCGTTATGGCGACAGGTGCAGGCACAGAGCGTGAATTCGCGGCGTGTGGTGAACGCCTTTCGACGGGCGAGGCGAGATGGCGACATGGGCAGCACCGCTGTGAAGGACCTTTATTACAGCCTTCGGCAGGTCCACCATTGAGGCGCTGCCGTTGTGTCAACCTCCAACAAAAAGGCAAACAGAAAAGTGCGCTCCTCGATGGAAATCTATTGGGCTTTTGTTCAAACTGCGTCTTCCCTTCTGGAAGGAGGACGCTGCAGACATCGATATATATATATATCTTTTGGCGTTTCATTTAAGATGCTTGCTTCCTTTGGCTACAGTGATGAAAGTTTTATTCAATTATCCTTGACCAGTTCGATCAAGGACCTCATAGTTACTTGGTGTATTGTTACTGCTGGTGCTGTAGGGCGTGGGGAACGCCAGTAAGAATAATATTGAAGGGGAACTACGAGGATACCGCGTGTGCCCTTGGAGTGAGATTCTTGTTTTTTTTTTTCGTTTTTGTACTACACTGCTGTGGAGCCATATAGCTCTCTATTCGCGACCCCACTCCCCCCNCCCCCCCTTTGATCAACGCCGTTTTGTGCTGTTGTTGTTGTTGTTCGTTTTTTTCTTTTGCTTGTTGCGTTTATGTTTCTTTTATACGGCGCGCTCTGCGTGCCTATGCTAGAATAGTGAATGAATGCTGAAAGATAAGCGGTGTGGGTGGAGTCGTAGCGAGGCGTGGTGGGACGCTTGTATATCTGCCCGCTGGCGCACTCCCTCCTATCACTACTGATAAGATAGGAGCAAAAAAAACAACAACTGGGAAGAAGTGCCGAACAAAACCGCTGTTCATTTTTCTTTTTTTTTGGTCCCCCCCCCTACCGTCTTTCTCCTGTGCTCGGCACACTGAATATACGCTTGCAATCGCTGAGTGGCAATGATGTGGTGCTGCGGCCCTCACTCTCTCCCCCTTTGGGTGCTGGCCCCTGTGCGAATGCGCCTCTATTTTCTTTCTCTTCTCTCCCTCGTTCCGCACGCCCCACCGCCCCGCTACGAAGAGCCTGATAGGCTGTCTCTACTCACAATACCATTCCGATGTTCCACGGCTTCCCGGACGTGCAGTTGGCTCCGCGCGACTCCATCATCAACGAGCAGTTCCACCAGCGCGATGAGGAGGGCTGTGTTGGGGCTATTGAGCTTCCGCCCGTGCAGAACGTGCGCATCTCCTTTTCTTCACTCACGTACCTCGGCAGCATGGCGCAGAATGCCACGTGCCACTACGCAGTCTTTGGTCGGCTATGCGGTGTGCAGCTAAACGACACGATCGAGATCACCAATGTGCTGCCGGCCCCCCTCGCACCCCGTCCTCCGGAGGACGAGACGAGCGACCAGCGTGAGAAGCGGCTGGCGGCGCAGCAGCGGGAGGAGAAGCGCATGTATGACAAACTGGGAAAGATGCTGCATAAGGAGGAGCTTGACAGCTACCATGTAGGCCAGTTTACGGTGTGCAGTGCATGCACCAACGCCCCGTACTCCGTTCGCACCGCACAGCAGCTGGCGCAGCTGGCGTTGGGCGGCCACCCGAGCGTTCTGCTCGTGTACGATCCGTTCCGTTCCGGCCTGATGGGCAAACTGTACCTGCGCGCCTTCGTGCCGACGCACGAATACCTGGACTTTTACACGAAGATCAACAGTAAGCGCAACACGCTGCGCGAAAACCGCTTGGTGCGGGACTGCCGCGTTGGTAAGAGTGGTGTACTGCGCGAGGTGAAGGTAGAGGTGGACGTGGACGAGCACCAGCTGCTGTGCCTCGAAGGCTTTAACGTCGCGCCCCTGCCAAGTACTTGCACTGCACTGCAGTCGGACACAATGTCAGACTACATCGCCGCTCTCCTGGAGTCTGTGCGCCACAACACGGACGAACTCACCCGTGTGCTTAGCAGCGAAAATTACCACAGTCAAAAGGAAGAGAACTACGGTCCACTGGCACAGCGCATCGACACCCTGCTAAAGCTTATGCAGCTGCGTGATCAGACACAGCACTTAGAGTCTCTCTGCGACGGAGTGCTTCTCAACACATCGCTTCTCCGTGACCTGTGAAGCGGAACACGAACAAAAAAAAAAAAAGAACCAACACGACGACCAGCAGCAACAACAAAAAAAAAAAAATGGCCGGGCGGGCACACATCCGGTGGGACACGAGAGTTGAAGAATAAGAAGAAAAAAGAAATGCCGACAAACGATGGTAAGAGGAGGTTAAGAAGAGTGTGCATATTAACAAAGAAATGAACTGGTGGGGTGACTTGATGGGTGGGCGTGAGGACGTGCGTGTCTCTGCGCATGGGTGCCTGTGTGGCGATCGTATCTTCCCTTTTCCCTCCCACTTTTTTTGTTTGTCTTTGCATTCTGCACACTCAGAGCTTCTAGCACGAGGGAAAAAAGACTCAGTCTCACAAAGCATTATATCCAGATACGGCAATACCCCTGTAGCCACCTTTCTGAGGCCAGGTCTAATGCTACCAGGACACAGTCATGCCTCGTACGGCGCCTGTGATGACATCGAGGAGACGGAGCAGCTGCGGAGGAGCAGCCTTATGCAGTCTGTGCGGCTAAGCCTCGCCGCACGTGTGAGCATCCCAACAGACGGTGGTATCGGGGAGAATATTCAAATCGAGCTCGAAAATATATTCGCGCGGGCTAACGAAGCCATGCCACTGTATGAGAAATTGGGTGGGGTGAAAGGAGTTGCGGAGAAGCTCGGGACGGACCTCAGCAATGGTG